CTATCTTTAGGAAATCTCATTGCTTTTCCCTGCTGACCAGTCCTTTCAAAACCTTTCTCCGTAGAAGACATCTACTTTTACTAATTTTGCACACACTTACACACACACACACACACACACACACATATGCAATTAACTACACATTTCATATCTGTCCCCTGCTTTACACTCCCATAATCACCACTTTACAGTTCAAGCCCTCGCCATCTTTTACCTAGTCCAGGGGGTAAGGAATCTGTGGCCTCAGGCCACATGTGGCCCTCTAAGTCCTTGGGTACAGCCTTTCAACTGAGTCCAAGTTTTACAGAACAAATCCTTTTATTAAGGGGATTTGTTCTTTGAAGCCCGGATTCAAAGGGTCACATTTGAGGACCTAGAGGGCCACATGTCGTCTTGAGGCCATGAATTCCTCACCTCTGACCTAGTCTAATACAACAGCTTCCTAATTAGACCCCCCCCCCAATCTCCAGTCTCTCCAGTTTTCTTCTCCAACCGATCCTTTACATAAGGGCCAAAATAATCTTTTTAGTACATAGGAGAAGCAAAGTGACACAGCAGGTAACATTCTCCTTACTGCTACTACCTTCCCTCTGTAGACTCTTAATAAATGTTTATTGAATGAATGAATGAATGAATGAATGAATGAATGAATGAATGATGCTGTCTCTCCCATTAAACTGTAAGCTCCTTGACAGCAGGGACTGTCTTGGTATCCTCAGGGCTTAGCACAGCACCCAGCACACCATAAGAGCCTAATATATGCTTACTGCCTGATACGCTGGACCTGGGATAGAAAGATTTGGGTTCAAATTCCTCCTCAGACACTCTCTAGTTATGTGACAACTAAGTAAATACTTCAGTCCAGCTGATCTGCCTTGGTTTCCTCATCTGATGGAAACAGTAACTGTATCACTTTCCTCCTCGTGCCCACCTGAGGATCACAAGAGATAACGTGGGTAAAGCCCTATAGAAAGGTTAGTTATTATTGTTATCAGGTCATTCCCCTGCTCACAGACTTCCCATGGCTGCCTATGGCCTCTAGATTAAAAAACAAATTCCTAAATGTGGCTTCTAAAGTCTTCCACAGTCTAACTCCAGCAACTTTTTTTCAGATTTGTTTCACATCACCGGTCCCCCTCCTACCCTGTACATTCTAGCCACACTAAACGATTTCCTTCCCTGATAGCAGATATTTGCACTGACCATTCTTCAGCCCACCCCCTTAAAGGACTCCCATCTCCTCCCTAATTCTAGGAATCTTCCCTGCCTCCAAGGTTCCTACCACCTTCTCTATGTTGACTACCCTGATTCCAATACCTAAAAGTGTTCTTTTCCTCTTCAAATATCCCTATTGCCTTCTGGATGACTTTCTCATCGGTCCCCTACTTTGTATTTTTTTTAATATGTATACATCATATATCTATGCCTACACACACACACACACACACACACACACACACACAACACCCCAATATAACTGGGCAGCTAAGTGGAACAGGGAAGAGTGTTGGACTTGGAGCCAGGAAGACCTGGTTCAAATCCTAACTCAGATACTTACTAGCTGTGACCCTGGGCAAACAATTAACCTCTCAGCCTCAGTCTCCTTATCTGTAAAATGGGAATAATAATAGCACACACACACACACACACACACACACACACACACACACACACACACTGCCAAGGGTAGTAATGAGGATCAATGGAGATAACCTATGTAAATTAGCGATATGGAAACACCAGCTGTTATAATTATAGGGGTGGCCGGATGGCACAGCAGATACAGCACTGGGGCCTGGAGTCAGAAAGACTCATCAAATCTGGCCTCAGACACTTACGAGCTATGTAACCCTAGGCAAGTCCCTTAATCCTGTCTGCCTCAGTTTCCTCATCTGTAAAATGAGATAGAAAAGAAAATGGCAAACCACTCCAGCATCTTTGCCAAGAAAACCCAAATGGAGTCATGAAGAGTTGGACACAACTGAACAACGTTATTATTACAAACTCTTTAATGACAGAGACCTTTTGATTTCTGTCTTTCCATTTCTAGAACCCAGTCCAAAGAAGCGCTGGCCCTCAATTAAACGAAAGTGGTATGCAGCAGCAGATTTCACTTAGTACACTAGGATAAACACCAGAGTGGGCAAACCTTCCAGTTCTCTCTTGAAATGTTGTCCTTTTCACTACAGCAATCAATGTGAACTTATTTTCAGAGTAAACACAAGTACTGCACAATTTAACACCAAGATTGCCAGGCCTTGGCCCTGTGAGCTGGGACAATTGTTTCTTAATCTCTCTAAATGAAACATCCATACAGGAGCAATTACTGGGTGTGTTCCCAGCTCCTAAAGTCCCCAGCCCTCACTGGAGCTGCATTTCTTTACCTCTCTTTCCCCTACACGTTCTCTCCTCCCCCTCGAAGTGGAGAAGGAAAGAAGTGGTCCTAGGATAAAGGAATGGGAGCTTACATATTTGTTGCTGCAGCTGTGGAATGCCCCCAAAAGAATCAGGAGTCATAATTTACAACATATTGGGGTGGACTAAATGATCTTACTTTGAAAACAACCAGCTCTGCACGCTCTTTTTCAGATCAAAATCTGTTTCCTCTTGCTTTGCTCTCCCCAGCCTCTCATTCCTGCCCAAAGGGAGGAGAAAGAGGAAGAGGAGGAGGAGGAGGAAGAAAGAAGGGGAGGAGGAAGGCATATAAATGATACTAAATAAATGGTTAGGAAACTGTTCAGATCTGACCGAAGAAAGGTCAACAAACAATTTTCAGCAAAAAACTGTTTTTCCTTATCACTAGTGTGAACAGGGCAGCTACGTGGCACAGTGGATAGAATGCCAGGCCTGGAGTCAGGAAGACCTGAGTTCAAATCCAATTTCAACCCTTACTAGCTATGTGCCCCTGCGAAAGTCACTTAACCCTGTCTGCCTCAGTTTCCTCATCTGTAAAATGAGCTGGAAAAGGAAATGACAAACCACTCCAGTGTCTTTGCAAAGAAAACCCCAAAGGGGTCACAGAGAATTGTATACAACTGAACAACCACAAAGTGTGAGCATAGCTTGTGTGGTTTCTCTTTCCTTGGAAGAAGTAATAACATTTCAGACACTTCTGATGAGCCATTTAAATAACAGAGGAGCACAGTGCCAAGCATATAGTAGGTGCTTACTAAGTGTTCACTGTCAGACTGATGGACTGATGAAGAAACAGACTGGTGCAAACAGACCATTGCAAACATTTCCTTCAAAATTCAGCTCAAGTCCCACCTGGCTTTCCTAATCCCCACCACTTCCTTCTATTTTTTTTTTCTTTTTGGTGAGGCAATTAGGATTAAGTGACTTGCCCAGAGTCACAGCTAGTAAGTGTCAAGTGTCTGAGGCTGGCTTTGAACTCAGGTCCTCCTGACTCCAAGGCCAGAGCTCTACTCATTGTGACACCTAGCTGCCCCACCACCACTCCCTTCTAAAGCTAATAGCAAACACCTATACAGCCCTTACTATGCGCCAGAGACGATGCTAGACTCTTTACAATTATTATCTCATTTAATCCTCAAAACAACCTTGGGAGGTAGGTGCTATTATTATCCCCATTTTACAGATGAGGAAACTGAAACAAATAGAGGTTAAGTGACTTGCCCAGGGTCACACAGCTAAGTTTCTGAGGCAGGACCTGAACTCAGATCCTCCTGCTTCCAAGCCCAGGGCTCAATCCACTGTGCCACCTACCTGCCCAGTGTTGTCTCCTTCCTTTGAAGGTTAAGTTCCTTGAGGGCAAAGACTTTCGTTTTGGTCTTTCTATCTCCAGCACTTACTACACAGTACCTAGCACACAGCAAGCACTTAATAAATGCTTCTTGGTAGACTGATGGATAAGGAAACCCATTCTGTCAATCTATATCACATGTCAGGACCATTAAAAAGAAGAGGCTATTTCCATCCCTAGATGACAATCATCTTCCTACAGCTCCCCTGGAATACAATAGCTTAGAATCATATTCATAGCAGGAATTCTTAAAACTGGAGTCTACAGACCAGGTATGCCGATAAAGAACTTAAATGGAGGGAGGGGAGGGGAAATCGCATCTTTATTTTCACTAACCTCTAATTGATATTCAACATTTCCTTCAAGTATAAATTTAAAAAAAAAAAACAAAATTCTGAGAAGGGGTTTATACACTTCACCATTACTGCCAAAGGGGTCCAATACACACACAAAAAATTAGGAACCCCTGATATATAGGGAGATTGTGTGGCACAGAGGGTACAGTGTCTTGTTTGGCTTCAGGAAGAACTACCCCTGATACCAGCTAGGTAAACTCCCGAAAGTCACTTAACCTCTTTCAGTCTCATCTGTAAAAATAATTCCCGTAAGACCTACCTCGCTGGGTTGGCAATGATGATCAACTCGTGACTAGTTAGCAGTCAATCACTGACCATTTATTAAACCATATGATAGTGCCCCAGGCACAGTGCTAGTATTCTCCTGTACTTGTAACCCCCAGCTAGGCCCTGGAGAATACAAGAATGAAATAACCCCTTCCTCTCAAGGCACTTACTTTCAGAGGAGACAAGTGTATACATATAAACACAAAGTAAAATGACCAAATGAGATAATATAGGAAACGCACTTTACAACTTTTAAGAGCCATATAAACATCGTTTATTATTATTATTACAACTAATGGCCAATGCCTCTGAAAGATGAACTTCTGAAGAAAAATCTTTCAGAGACTGGGGCAGATTCCAAGTAATCACCAAAGAGGAAGACTGAAGTTCAATGAGCCTCTAAGGAATTCCCTTCTTGAAATGCTTCTCTATTTTTCTAGCAGCCTCTTCCCCAGATCAGAACACAGTTCTCCCTAAAGAACTTGTCGTTCGTATCAAAGTAACCCTGGTTCAGCACTCTAGTTTAAAAAAAAAAAAAAGCAGCCCGTTGGCTTCGGGTTTGCTAATTAAAGGCACAATGGCTTTGGCTTTGGCAGTGAACGCATTCACCCTACCTCCCTCTCAGGCTGGCCAGGTCCTTCATCGGGATTCCGAAGATTCAGGATATGGACCTCCTGAGGCAGACTGGTTGTGCCCCGGCTTGCACAGCCAGACAGGACAGTGAAACTCTCCAACAAGGCTTGGACAGGGTGTGAGGAGTTGACAGGAGACAGCACGCATTCTGTCCGAGGCACAGGACCTGCAGAGAGGGAAAACCAAAACTTTACACGTGCCACTCAGAAACATCAGAACTCTATTCAAACTCAGAAACAGGCGTCCTCCTGGGACTAAGATTCTGCTTCTGGAGTCCTCTAGCCCCTGCCAACTTAGCTTAGACCAAGGATGACAAGGGAGGTTTATCACTGCCAACATTAAGAGAAAATGGCTGAGCTATTTTCTAAGAAACCAATATATTTCATTGCTTTTGAGTGATTTTTTTAATCCTTCTTTTGGTTCACAACATTCTGTAAAATTCCTTTGGGCAAGGACACTCCCCATTTGACATTTGCACAGGTCTACTCCCAAACATCAAAAGAATCCCTTCCCCCTCCCCCCTCCAGAAAGGATATGGGGGGGGGGAAGACAACCTAGAAACAAGTATATTTATTCATTGATTTGTACAATACATTCGAATTCATCCATTCATTTGTCAAATTAAGTGGCTGATTAAATACACAGCTACTGTTCCACTGGCTCCCACAAAAGATATAAAAAGGCACAGAGGAGGAATCTGGCCTGTTGGGGACAATCTCTACAGGACAAAGATAAGGGGTCATACAAGGATGGGTAGGGTCGGATGGGTAACGATCTACACCAGTGGAAGGAAGTACCCAAAACCACACTGGAGAGATCACAAATCAACTACAGAATCGAAGGACTGAAGAGTGCATTTCCTTTATGCAAAAGATGCTGTAGGCTTCATGAGACTGATTGCCCTGGGACCTCCGTCATTGGGAACTCTCTCCCCTGACTGCCATTTTAGAAAGAACCCTAGCCCTCCCTATTGCCTGGGCTCTCTCTCCTAATTCCTCCTGCTTACCAACAACATTGTCCCACTATAGATGCCCTTCCTTCTCCTCCACTTCCCCCTTCCCCTCGCCCACAACATTACTATATGTGCCATCTTTCCACGTTAAACTGCAAACTCCTTGAGAACAGGAACCATCTTGTTTGACTACTTATATCTCAAGAGCTTAGCGTGGTGCCTGGCACACCGTAAGCACTTACCAAATACTTACTGACAGACTGGCCTGAGGCCCATTTTTGTTGTTCAGTTGTTTCATCATCTCTGACTCTTCATGACCCCATTTGGCGTTTTCTCTTCAAGGATACTGGAGTGGTTTGTCATTTCCTTTTCCAGCTCATTTCACAGATGGGGAAACTGAGGCAAACAGGGTTATGTGACTTGCCTAGAGTCACACAGCCAGTAAGTGTTTGAGGCTGGATTTGAACTCTAATCTTCATGATTACAGGCCTGGCATTCTATCCACTTCACCATCTAGATGCCTTCTTTTTTTTTGGGGGGGGGACCATAGCAATTCTCAAAGCCTATCTACAAAGTTCTAGAGGGTGCTCACCTGCCTTGGGCAAGGGAGTACCTGCCTGACAAAATCCCATATCCTCCCAGTGCCAAAAGTTCGGAAAGAGAGCAGAAAGAACTCCAAATCTTAAGTCAGGCTGCCTGGGACTGAATTCTGGCTTTGCCACTTGGAAAAATCTGCCCTTGGGTGGATGTGGGAGATTTTACACCTCCTTCTTTCTCATCCCACCAAGCACCAACCTCTTTTTTCCCTATGTTTGTCTTATTGACTATATTAGAATGTACTAGACTATACTAGTATATGTTTTGCTTGTTTAATTGGGAGGGCAGGTTTTGCAGGGCTGTGGTTTCATCATGTGATTTCCCTTATGGAAACTCCCTCCAACAAAGAGTAGCAATTCATCTCTACCTTATAGATGATCTATGTGCCCCTGGGCAAGGTCTAAGGCTGAGGGTCCCTTCATCTCTCTGGACCTCTGTTTCCTCCCCTGTAAGATGATGATGTTAAACTCGATGGCCTCCAAAATCCTGTCCAGCTCTAGATACCGTATGAACCTGGGGTCACATTCAGCTCAGATTGAAGTCATCCGTTTCAACAGCCTCCCTGTTGATGCTGCCCTCACTTCCAAAACAAATGCACCTCAGGTGCCCAGCCCACACCGACCCACGGTCTCAACACCATAAGCAGACACAATGTTTTGCCAAGTCTATTTCAGAACCAACCAGAATTATCTAAACCGATAGCAGCTATCTGGTTTACGCCACGAGGCGTATGTCTTTTTTCCAATACTCAGCGGCACCCCGTGTCATGCTGCTGGCTCTTTTTTGAGAGACAGCATGAGGTGGCAGAGAAACAGGGAATGGCAGAGCATGGAGGCAGAGTTAGCCTCCTTCGAGTGGGTCACTAGAACAACGCAAATATTAGCATAAGCAAACATTTCCCCCACAGCTCCCCAATCCACCCTCCTTTGCCAGGGCCCATGGGAGGTCTGGTATGTCTGACGCTGGAGGGCTATAGAGAAAAGTTTCCCCCCATGCAGCTCTGGTGCCTTCATGGGGTTGATGGGATGTCTACACTGAGCTGTGCATTTTCATCTTAATGTCACAAATTTGCCGTTATCCTACCCACAATAAATAAACAAATTGAGGTGATGGGATGTCTATGCTGAGCTGTGCATTTTCATCTTAGTGTCATAAATTTGCCGTTATCCTACCCACAATAAATAAACAAATCAAAGCATAGACAGAAATATTTTACAGCTTGGACAGGCGCTTATCGGAACAAAAATCTAGACAGAGATTTACAATTTACGTCGATTTAGCCACTGCCTCACTTCCCTCCTGTCTCTCCCTTCCCCTGGTAAATCCTTTATTTTCAATATATTTGGGAATATTAGCAGTAACTCACGTATTGGGCAAGGCAGCTAGGTGGCGCAGTGGATAGAGCATCGGCCCTGAAGTCAGGAGGACCTGAGTTCAAATCCGGCCTCAGAGCAAACACTGGACACTTACTAGCTGACCCTGGGCAAGTCACTTAACCCCAATTACCTAATTAATTAATTAATTGATAAAAGAAGGGATAGGGTGACCAAAGGAATTTGATGTAAGAGATAGACCACTGGACTTAGAGTGAGGAAGCCCAAAGACTGAATTCCCACCTCAGATACTTACTAGTCTGTATGATGTTGGCCAAGTCATTTAACCTCAGTTTAATCACGTGGAAAATAAAGGAGCTAGAGCTCCATGACTTCTTTAGGTCCCTTCCAGCTCTACATCTATGGTCCCTCATTTTTGTCTTGGTCTCTGTTACTATTGTAGGTGTGAAAACTCCCTCCACCAACGTGAGATGGTGATTTACCATCGCTTACCATTTTAGAGAATTTTATAGAATGCTAAAGATTAAGCTTCTTGTCCATAATCACATACGCCACTGTGTGCCCACTGTGTGCTGTGGTCAGGATTTGAATCCAGGTCTCCCTGAAACATGACTGACCTATCTACAACATCATGTTGCCTCTCGACCAGCCCCTTCAGAGTCGGATAATGAGATTTTACCAAAATTATGAGAGAACTAGAGATTGTTTTTTTTTAATTCAGAGACCCCAGGTGAAAAAATTTATACAGGCAGATCCTTAACTTGAATTCAGGGTTCTCTCCATGGTTTCCCTTTTTAAAAGCCATATCTCTAGACATGGGTTGTACCTGCCCCAGGCATGGGATGAAAGTGATGAAAGGGGGAGTCAAGGAGAAAGAAGGTTATTTTTATTATATATGTGTATTATATATATTTATCTATTTTACTATTTATTATGCTATCTATTTAGTAACAATCTCAACACAATGAACAAGTATTGATTAATCACCTACTATTTGCCAGACCCTGGGCCAAGCACAAGAGGTATAAAGACAAAAGTGAAATAAATACCTTCAATGAATCCACATTTTATTGGTGGAAATCATATGTACACAGAAAATATGCACTAAATGTCTATTTAATAATTAAAAGGTAGTTTGAGGGGATGAGGCACTAGCAGCTTAAGGAGATCAGGACCTCATATAAAGAGGGCACTTGAGTTGTCTTAAAGGAAACTAGCTCTAAGATGTGGAGATGAGGAAGGAATTCCTGGCACAGGACACAGCCTGGGCAAAAGCACTGGAGATGAGAGATGGAAAAATCATGGGGGACGAACAGCAAGAAGTCCAGCCTGGCTCGATAACACACGGTCCAAATGAATGAGCCAGCAAAATGAGGAATAAAGTCATTGAGAAAGAAAAGCATAAACTTGATCAAAGGACTTCTGGAGTCTTTTCCAGCTCAGAGATTCTGCTGGGGGAAGGGGGAGGGGAGGACAACTCCTGGTGGGGCTGGACCAGTTGTATCATTGGTGTCAATGGATGGAAACCTCCTGTGGGGTTACATCATCAGACAGCCTGCCACAGGTATGAAAGTTCTAGAGAGATAGGAAAGTTCTATAGTTCTAGAGGTTCTTTTTTTTTTCCTTTTGGTCTAAGCAACGGGTTTAAGTGACTTGCCCAGGGTCACCATAGCTAGTTAAGTGTTATGTGTCTGAGGCTGGATTTGAACTCAGGTCCTCCTGAATCCAGGGCTGGTGCTCTATCTACTGCGCCACGTAGCTGCCCCTAGAGGAGAGGTTCTTAATCTTGGGGGAGTCAGTCTGATGAAGCTTATGGACCCCTACTCAGAATAACAGTTTCATATAAGGTTACCAAGGAAACCAACTGCATGGAAATACAGTTATATACATATATACATACATCTATGTATATGTGTATTGTGTGTGTGTATATATACATATATATTTTAGGCAGTTGGGGTTAAGTGACTTGCCCAGGGTCACACAGCTAGTAAGTGTCAAGTGTTTGGTCTGAGGTCACATTTGAACTCAGGTCCTCCTGACTTCAGGGAGGGTGCTCTCTCTACTGTGCCACCCAGCTGCCCCTTGTGTATCTATATTCTATACACATATATCTACACACACACACACACACACACACACACACACACACACACACACCCCACAGCCACCTAGCCAGTGTCTTAGAAGCTAGACTTGAGCCCAGGTCCTTCTGTCTCCTCCATCCACATCATTTACTAAGACTCACACCAGCTTTTACTAAAGAGTAGCAGAAACATCTCT